AAGGGGGCGGGGTGGGACACCAGGATCTAGTTCTATGCTATTTATTTGAAGATACTTGTCCAGATGTAGTTATAAATGATAACGGCTTCTTTGTGGTTAAACTAACAACCCAGCCACCTGGGCGTAAAGTGCTCTAAGAAGCCAAACAGGACTACAGTTAAATCTGTTAGCAGTGCCCTTCAGTGTTACCAGTTTTCTCTGCAGGGTTGCTGACCTCGTGTAACTGACTTGGAGAACTGTGCAGCTCAAACGCGCTTTGTCCTTTTACCTAATCTCTCTCTCTTTATACATGAATCACCTTCTAATACTAAATGTGTTAACTCTTCAGAAGCTTACCTCTGATAATAGAGAATCCTTTTAAAAAATTAAAACTTTTGATAAGATGCGGACTTCCTATTTTTTAATATGTGATCAGGAAATAAGTTTAGTGTTGGTCAAAGGTAAACTTTTGATTATGAATTAGAAACTGTTTTCATTTGGTTAGGCAGCCTAAGTAAATAGAGTTCGGGCAATTTTTGAAATTGGAGAAGTGCAGTGCTGAACTCTGAGAGCAGCAGTGACATCTACTTAATAATTCTTCATAATTTTATTGTAATTGATGAGTAGGGCTGGCTGTAGGAATTCCATAACTTCTAATTGAGAAGGTTCCTCAGATTACATGATTTTTAAAGTGGTTTAAAATACTTCCAGAAAGCTTCACAGTCCTTGAGTCAGATTTTGAGTCTCCTGACTTACTACTAATTTGAATGCATCGCTAACTTACACTATCAGGTTTTTCCTAGTCTTAATTAAATATTAAATACATCCTCATTGATTTTTTTTGAGAAGTTTCTAAATATGAGTATTAATATGGCATCTTTTTACATTAGTTATTTTAATTCTGGGTATGATACTCCTACTGTGGTTAATAATGGAAATTATTTCTAGTCATAAAAAAGACTGATGAATAAATCAGGCTGAAAACAATGGAAATGGATGATAGAGCTCATCCACATTTCCTGAGTAACTTCCATAGCTGCTGAGCTGAGTGTTGAGAGCTTTCCTAAAACTTTCCTAAAATCAGGACACTAGATTCTCCTCATTGCCTGCCTCTGGGGGGCAGATTCTTGTGCAGTGCAAGGAGCTGTTTAGAATATCAAAATGTTAGGATCTTTCCTAACACTTCGGGATCTGCTTTCTACTAATGCAGCCACAGACTGAAGTTCTTAAGGGATTCCCACTGCCCTGCAGCGCCCTTGACATGGCCTTCAGATTCTGGGCTGACAAAAGTAGGGTTCTCAACCCTGCCACAATTAAAAAATATGTTGGAGAGGATTTTAAAAATATATTGGAGGATTTTAAAAATATGTTGCCCAGGTCCCATTCCAGAGATTTTGATTCCATTCATTCGACGTGAGCCTGGGCATCAGTATTTTTAAAAAACTCCAGAGCTGATTCTAATGTATGGCAGTTTAGGACCTGTTGGACTAGAAAAATATGTTGAAGGAGTCTTCTAACTGTTACGAATTTCATGCTTGATTTATCAGATACTGCAGAGGCAAGAATGAAGGCAGGCAGATAGAGCAGTCCTGGACCCTGGCTCTCAGCCCTAGGTTTAGTGAGCAGGTCTGTATGGGTTCCGGGAGTTTGCCTACCTGAGATTTCTCTGATTTATCTCTCCAAGCCAGGCAATACATGGTGTCACTGAATTCACTATGATTAATTCACCCGTTATATCTATGGGAGTATGGTAGGTGTTGGGGGACTTAGGAGCCTGAGCAGCCTCAAATTTTAGAGTTGGGGGCTTTAGATACATGGTCCTAAAATTAAAAGCTTTATGTCTCCCCTTTCTAACTTGGCACTAAGCCCTGGAAAGGCAAAGGCAGTTCATGTTCTGAAGAATTTTTTTCAGTGTGCTGGGAGAGACAAGTAAACATCTTTTCAATGTAGTAAGTGATTTGACGAAGGTGTGTTCTGGGAATACATGCTTAGCCTGTGAACTCAGGGAAGTTCTGGAGGGATAGCGCCTAAATTAAGCCTTGGGAGATGTTTTGGAGTTTTGAGTAGGTGAGAGGTGAGGGTGTTCTAGGTGGAGGAACAACATTTTTTTTAAGGACGGAAATGAGAGCATTCTTTGAGTAGATAATTGCAAGTAGTTTTTGTGTTACAACTCAAGTAGCTTAGGTTTCCATTCTGTTAATGGCAAAATTTGAGGTGGGGTGTGGTGGAAGAGGCTGTAAAAGGTAGCCTGGGGTTAGGTGATAAAGGGCTTTGTATATCATACTGGGGTACTCAGATACGCCTGGATGTCTGGGAGCCACTGGAGGGTTTTGAGCAAGGGAGGGACATGGTCATATTTATGTTTTCCCAGCACAGAATGTGAACATAGAGGGTGAGTCAAAGTGTGGTTAGGGGACTGGAGATATATTGCAGGAGACAGATGATGAAGGCCTGAATGAGGCAGTGGTAGTAGAGATAGAACAGACAGGACAGATAAGAGAAGTAATTAAATGCTGAAACTGGCAGAACTTGGTGATTGGTTGGATGTGAGATAAGAGAGGTGAAGGTACCTAGGATGACTGTCAGGCCTCTGGCTTGGGTCACGAGGTAGTATCTGAGACTCAAGGTCTAGAATAGCAAGTTTGTGGGGAGTAGGTATGAGAGAGGAAGAGTTGAGTTTAGACAGAGTTGAATTTTGTCCAGCAGGCGGGTAGATGCATGAGACTGAAGCTCAGGAGCACACCCAGGGGTGAATGTAAAGATATGAGATCTCAGCCTGAGTGTTAATTAAAACCATGAAAGCAGATGAGATCAAAGATAAGATATTAGGAGATGGGGTCAGTAGCCAAACCCTGCAGCAAAACAGTGTTTGAGAGTGGACTGAGGAAGAAGAGAAAAATATAAACTTTAAGCTATTTATTTACCCATATTACTCATCAAGAAATACCTGATCATTTTTTTCCTGTGGGAATGAGTTAGTGCACCGGTTTTTTTTTTTTTTTTGGGGGGGGGTGCTTTTTTTTGTTTCGTTTTGTTTTGAGACAGTGTCTTGCTTTGTTGCCCAGGCTGGTCTCAAACTCCTGGCCTCAAGTGATCCTCCAGCCTAAGCCTCCCAAAGTGCTGGGATTACAGGTGTGAGCCACCGCCCAGCCAAGTTAGTGGGTTTCTAGGTTTTACAAGAATTAAGACTCACTCACTCTAGTGTGTAGCCAGAATGGCAATTCCAAATCATTGTCTTCACTTATGTAAACTCACATTTTCTGATGATGTTTTTGGTTGGATGGGGCAGTCTTTAACTGTGGTTTTATGTCTGCTGTTTAAGCAAACAATTTATATTCCTTTATAATCCCCTACAATGTTTGAGAAGGATGCAGATCACATAAGAAATAATAGTGTGGAATTTTTTATTAGAGAACTGGAGGTGATAGTGCTCACTCTTTTTTTTTCCTGTAAACCTTTGGGTTGGAGGAAATTTGGCTCCTTTCTCTTCTAACTTGGGATTTAGCTTTATATATTCTATATACAACATACTGTAAAATTTATTATTAACATATATTTCAGCTACATATTGTCTTAATTTCAAATTGGCTAAAGGGTATTACAGAAGAATAACCTGAGTAGGCTTCCATTTTCTACTTGGATAGGTCTTTCCTCCTTCCCTCTTGTCGTCCACATTGCTGCTATAATTAACTTACTAAAATGCAACTCTAATCTTGCCACTAGTCTGCTTTAGAAATTACTCAGCAGCTCCTCATTGTCTAGAATGAAGTCCACTCTCAGCTGGACAGTCAGCTTTTCATAACCTGACCCCACACCTTTCTCATCCCATCTGCCACTCCCCATACATACTTCATACAATAATTATCCCCCACGGCTTATCCTTCTGGAGAATTCCATGTACTTCCATAACATTGTGCCTGTGTGTGGTCTCCCCAAGATGTGCTTCTCACCATTTCTCAATTTGCCAAAATCCTTTTAATCTCTGTCCTTCTTAGGTAACCCTTCTTCCTCTGCATAGTGGAATTCATTCTGTTCTGGGTATTTACGTAGCAATTGGCGCATGTAGCTGTTCATTAGCTATAAATAATTACATCTATCTATTTTCTGGAGAGATTGTAAGCCTTTGGAAGGTCAATACAGTGGCTTATCATTGGTTCACTTTATAAATACTGAATTTCTACAAAATGCCAGGCTCTATCTCAATTTATAGTTACTACCTTGGCAGCACCTAGCACAGTGGTTGGCAGATAGTAATTAAGATGAGTCTTTAGGTCTGACTTTGAGAGCATCAGACCTGTTGGTATCAGATAAGACCATGCATAAAATTTCAAATAATGTTGCAAATCTAGCTGATTTCAAAATGTGTTTAAAAGCATTGTTTACTTTTTAATTTTTGTGCTTTAGTCAAAGAAAAAAGGACTGAGTGCAGAAGAAAAGAGAACTCGCATGATGGAAATATTTTTTGAAACAGTAAGTCATTTTCTTTAACACATAATTTTGTGTAATTTTCATCTTAAGTATATGTCATCCAATGTTAACTGCTCTTCTTTGTAAGACATCAATACTGATCAATTTCTTGAAGAATGGGTAAGTTTCTGCAAATATTTGTGGCTCCTGTGAGTTATGGAGTTGAAAAAACATATCCCACTATTGGTAGAGTCTCTTTCACCCAAGCAGTGCTGTATACTGGCACCAGAATCTTCTGATGCATATATTTGATTGTCTCCCCTTTCTGCCTGAAAAATAATAATGACGAAAGTCCACATCTCCTGAGTGCTGCCTAGGTGCCAACCAGTCCTGGATCTCAAACAATAGAAGCCATAGTTCCAGGATTCAAACCAGGAAGAATCATTTGATTTCAGAGGGAGTACCAAATACTGTCTTTGGATTTTAAGTCTGTCTAATGTGTAACACATAGTTGATGGTACACAGGCCTCCTTAATTTATTCCAGATATTTGTACCTGCCACCAACAGGAAATATGTTTAAAGTTTCATCTCCTAAGTGACAGAGCCAGAGTTCAAACCCAGGTACCTGGCTCTAGAGCCTCCTGTCTCATGGCTTTACCCTGTTACTGGAAAGCTTTTCTTTGTCTTCAGGTTAAAGGCCACATAAATCTTTCACCTAAAACAACACTAACTTCAAGCCATATGATATGGCTTGGCAGGACCTGCATAGCCTCGTTGGCTATTTTCATCATATACAAATGTGAAGATGGGAAAAAGTGGTAAAATTGAATATTAACATGATAAAATCCCTTTTCACTTTAAGGCAGATTCTTAGTAAAAAAAAAAAAAAAGCAAAATACACTGGGGATTTGCCCACTAAGTATAATCTTATTCTTAAAAGTCATTGGCAGTTCAGAACAGGATATCATATTATGATGATGATATGGTTAGGAAGATAAATTGGTGAAGTCTCTATATGAAAATTACGGGAATTATTCTGCTGAGTTGAAATATTTTTCCTATGGTCTCAGCAAGAAAAGTAGGTTTAATTCCTGCAAGACAGTAGAAAGCTGAGGAGAGTGTTGGGGAAATTATTTTGTCATTTTACAATATTGTTAATTATCTCAAATATAAAAAGTGACAGTTTCTAACTGAAAAATTTTAAACCTTGTCCTCAGTAACACCAACACATGAAAAACTCTGAGGATCAGGAGTTTAAGGAAGTTAGTCATTAGTGAGGTTTTCCATAAAGCTGGGAATTAATTGTACTGATTGATTCATTTCATATATTCCTGTTTCTTTTTTTCATTATAGCCTAATCAGTTGCTGCTCATTTATTTAGTCTATCAGTTTTTTGATGGAATTGAAAAGTATAAGAGATTTGGCAAAAGTAATGGAGGCCATTTAATTTGTTCTCTCCTGAATGGGATATGGTATATCCAGGATCCAGACTGATGTCAAAAGTAGATAAATACTCGATTTGCTTCAACATCTCAAAGCAAATCAACAATAATGGTGCAGAGTGAAAAGCATGGATTCTGGAATTCAGATTCAGGAATCTGGATTCTAATTTCATTGTTGCAATTGGCAAGTAAAAATTCCAACAAAATCAAATATGGCTACTCAAGGATTTGTTACAGAATTTGACTTTCTTTAGATGTCAATAGCAGCCCCCTTTTCAAGACTAATGTCATGGGAAAATGCTTATAATTTAATGTTAAGTAGAAAATGTAAAATATAAAAAACAATGCATGATGACAAATATTAACAATGGTAAGATACAGGTGGATTTTGTTTTACACTCTTTGTTACCTACAGTGAACAAATACTACCTTTTTAATCAAATTAGAAAATCAACTAATGAAGCAGCACATACTATATTGCCTCTAATCATAAGTGGGCTGTCTGCAAGGTTTTGGAAATCTTTTAAAAACATAGTCATTGGTAATAATGACAACTCAGAGAGAGAGTAAGAACCGTCAGGGACTATTTGAGGCACAAAATAGGCCACCAATAAATGTGTTGAGCTTTTTAAAAAATTACTTCAGCAAACAAATGAGTAGCTTTCCATTGGCACACAGATCTCTGGAATGGCCATGCGTATGCCCAGATAATTAAAATAAATATATAAATGGAGAAAAAGAGGCATAGACATGATCATGTATGGATGGATATATATGTGCGTGTATGTGTGTTTTGGAGCTGCTAATGTAATAAATTATTTGCCTGTTGCACTTAGGAAGAACATGAGAACAGTGTAGCTCAATAATTGAAAGTTTGCATCTGGAACCTGTTTAACTCAATAGCTTTGTGACCTTTAAGCAAGGTTCTTGACCTCTCTATGTCTGTTTCTTCTTCTCTCAAAGAAGATGATAATTTTACCCAGTTCACAGTGTTGGTATGGGGATTAAATAAGATAATATATTAAACAATGCCCAGGTCATAAGTGCTTTATGAAATGTTATCTAGGGCCAGATGCCACGGCTCACACCTGTAATTCCAATATTTTGGGAGACCAAGGCAGGAGGATCTGTTGAGCCCAAGAGTTTGAGGTTGGTAGTGAGCCGTGATCACACTCTGTCACTCAGGCACTCTA